GGGGGCAGCTGGGTGGCACCTTGGGCGGAGGTGATATGAAGGCAACGGGAAAGGAGGAAGTGGAGCACTGAGAGGCACGCAGGGGAGTCACGATGGCGACAATGCCGGGTAGGGGAGCAGCAGGCCGCTGCCCTCTGGCTCCCATCAGCCCCCTCCCCATCCATACTCACCACCTGCTCACTGGTCATCGATGCACTTGTCTGTGGGGGAGACAGTTTGTCACAATAGGCAGGGATGTGTGTGTGACCCCTGACCACCGGGACCCCTGCCCTGCCCCCCAGCTGCCCCCAGGCCCTAGCCTGGCCCAGGAGCAGCAGATCTAGGGGTTCCCTTCAGGGCTGGGGCAGCAGAGAGGGGCAGATGATGGGGGAGGGGATCTAGAGAAAGGCCTGAGAACACCTGGGGGTCACTTGTTCTCAAGGACTCAAACGAGGCCCAGCCACCTGCTGGGCACCGAGGTCTCCTGCCCGTTGACCTGAAGAGCCCTGGCAGCCCCTCAGCCTTGAGGAGGCTGGTGGCTCTGTGAGTGGCCTGGGTACAGCCCCTGCCTGGCCAGGCTGACCTCCCAACTCAGTGGTGAGCAAGCCCCAGGGGGAGGGGTGGGGGGAGGAGGCCCAGAACAGCAGGACCTGGGCTATAGGGGGAGGGGGCCCAGCAATGAGACTGGGAAGCTTGGCCTGGCCTGAACTCTCATCTGGGTCGGCCCAAGCCATCTCTCAGGGAAGAGTCCTTGGGAACCAGACCCCGGGGGCCCCGCAGACGCTGGGCTGGGGCATGGTCTTTCTGAACCCAAAGTGGCTCCCAGGGGCTGCGGTGACTAGAGGGGAGCGGGCCTCCTCTCCCCGTTTCCCTGGTGGGACGTCATCAGGCCTGGTCAGTCCCAGACCCCCCTCTCCTCTCCCCAGCTGGCCATTACCGATTGGGACAGGGAAGACGATGTTGTCATCGGTGAGGCCCAGGGATTTGACAAAGCGGATGAAGTTCTCCTTCAGCTCAGGGGGCAGCTCCTTGGTCCTTCCTGTGGCCAAGATGGCCGGCGAGTGGCCGGGAGACACTCCATGAATATTGTTGAATGGATGAAGGAGCCTCAGACCCCTTCCTCGTGGGGGGCCTGCGGAAAGCCCTCGTTCCCTGGCCTCCTGGGGACTTGGGGCAGAGATAACGCTGGAGGGGGCCTTGGGGGATGGGTGGGGACAGGAGCGGGGTTGGGCTGAAGACCCACCATAGAGGGTGATCTTGAAGTACTTCTGGTTTTGGGAAACATACTGGAAGAACACCGTGGCGAACTGGTTGTAGTCGGTGTCCACCACTCGCACGGTGTAGCTCTGCAGTGGAGGGTAAGCTGCGGGTGGACAGTGCGGGGTCAGCCCTGGCTGGTTAGACAGAGCAGCTCCCTCCTCCCCCACCCCGCACAGGATGGCCTCTGTGCGGAGGTGCAGGGAGACCCGTTCCCCTCTGGGAGGACCCCACGCCTGGGACCCCAACCCCAGGGCCCGCATCACTCAGGACTCACCCTTAATGTTGCCCAGGCTGAACTGGCCGGGCTGGGAAGTTTGGACAAAAGTTCTGACAAAGTAGTCACAGCGCTGGTTCCTGTGGGAGTGGGAGAGAGGTGTGGGTGAGGGGAGACGCAGGCTTGGCCCCCATGGGCTGGATGAGGTGGGAGCCAGGGTTGCAGCTGGAGGGGCTGGGATCCCGCAGCCCTGGGTCCAGCCCAGCCCAGCCCAGCCCAGCCCAGCCCATCTCCGCTGCAGCAGGAGGCCTGGCCTGTCCCTCTGTGCTCTCCCCCCTGCCCGGCCTGGGCCCTGCCTCCAGTACCCACTGTCCTTCCGTCTGCAGGGCTGTCTCCCCTCGGCGGCCTTCCTGTACACAGTCCTCCCCACCCTGGGCCTTTGTCCCCTCCTCTTGTCTTGCTGTTTCCCGCTGTAACCCCTCCTGGGCGATTCATCTCGCCATGTCCTTGGCACCCGAGAGCCCATCTCCCCAAACCTGTCCTTCTTATGCCCCTTGTGCCCAAATGCTCCAGCCCCCCCTCCTCCAGGTACCAGAGCTAGAAACCCACAGGAGCTGGTGAGCCCGGCACCCCACCATTCCTCTTCCCCCTGCAACCAGAGGGGCCTTGTCTCCTCGCCAGATCCCTTGGGTGGTGCCCACCCCCGCCAGGCTGCTCATGGCGCCCGGTGGCTGCCCGAAGGAGCGGCTGTCTCTTACTCGGAGCCCGCCAGCCCCTGCCGTGAACCCCATGCCCCTCCTTCCAAGGCAGATGGGTTCCCCCAAGGCCCAGCCAAGATGCCACCTCCCAGGAAGCCCCCAGTGAGGTCCTGGTGGGGTTCCAGGCTGGGCCCAGGGACCCTCCTCCCACTCCGGACTCCCCTGCTCTCTGCCTCGTTTCCCCGAGGACTATCCGTGCGCATCCCTCCTGCTGTCCGTGTGCGCACAGAAGGGACCAGTAAACACTGACGTAATGAAGGAAGGAAGACACAGGTCTCTGAGTCCAGTGCTGAGGAGAGGATGAGTGACTGCCTGTCAGCTTGGCCGTGACATCAGTCTGTCTCTCAGAGCCCCTCCTCCACGCAGCCCTCAGGTTCCCATGCTCCCGGGAGGTGGGGCTCTCACCTGAGCAGGGTGGAGGTGACATTGTAGCTGCGGTCTTCTTTCAGCTCGTAGTTGGTGGTGTACATCTTAAAGTCTTTGTCTTCCTTTGAAAAGGCATTCCCTGCCAGGCCCACGACATACCACTTCCCCTGGAACTGCAGGGGGCGGTGACAGGCCGAGTGGCCGCAGGGGCCCCGACAGCTCTGTCCCTGAGCCCTGCATTGGGCCTGCACTGGGCACCAGGAGCGCCTCTACCAGGGGGCCTGCTCTGGGCCTGCCCTGGGCCTGCACTGGGTCTGCACTGGGCCTGCACTGGGCCTGCCCTGGGCCTGCACTGGGACTGCACTGGGCTTGCACTGGGCCTGCACTGACAAAGCCAGCAGGAGCTGGAGGCTGTGGCCAGAGGGAGCGTGGAGTCTGGCAGGGATGGAGTGACCTGCGGGCAGTGGACTGAAGATGTCCCCACCTGGCAGGGACTGTGGCGATTACGGGAGAGAATGTGGACCTGGGCAGGTCAGCCGGGCTGGGGTGGGGGTGAGGGTGGGGTGGGAGCATGGTTTCCATCAGGAGGCGTAAGGGCAGGCTGAGCTGAAACCTGGGCCCATCCCATTCTAAATGTTCTCTAAGACTCGGCCTCAACTCCCTTCTGCTCCCACTGTCCCGGGGTCATCCCCACAGCTGCGCCCCAGGTTCCTTACCTGGTCATCTTGGAAGTTTGGCTGCAGCGGGACCTTGGACAGAGGTGGGGCGGGGATCAGGTTTGGGGTGGAGTCCTGGGCCTGGGTCTGCAGGGCCCCCAGTAGGGTGAGGCCCAGCCACAGGAGGCCGAGGGGCATGGTTGCAGGGCTGAGGCAACTGGGCAGCTGCTGAGCCGGGCAGGTGGTGAAGGAGGAAGAGGCGAGTGAGGAGGCTGGCCTAGGGTCCTATTTATGATCCCCGCTCTCCCCGGGGCGGAGTGGTATGTCCTTTGCCAAATTCAGGAAGGGTGAGGTAACAGCCAGTAACTCCTGCGGAACCTTCGGTGAGATTTCTGGCCCTTTCCCCATGGTCAGGATTGTGCAAGGTGGAGGGGCAGGAAGGGCAGGGGGGGACCGGGGGACTTTCCCCAGAGCCCCACACCTCTGCAGGGACTGGGGCCCCTGGCACACTCTCCTGCCCTTCCCTCCACTCTGTTTGTGTTCAGTGGCCCCGATCTGTCACCTCTAACCTCCAGCAGTCCCTGCTCGGGCCAAGGCGGGGGGGGGGGGGGGTGGGGGGTGGGGGGGGGGGTGGTGGTGTTAGGGCCGCTGGAAAGTGGGATGAGATCTCTCCATCAGTGAAAGCAGAGCAGGCCTCACTCTGACAGAGGGTGGCCTGTTTCCTGGTTCTCAGAAGGTGCAGGGAAGGGTGGGGCAGCTGGAAGTGAACATTCCTGACAGGGAAGGACATAGTGTTCTGAGCTCTCAGAGGCCTCCCCCCGCCAGCCCTGGCACAGGGGAGACCCCTGTCTCAGACGCCCATCTGGAAGGGCCCCCACTTTGAGTTGTCCCTGCCCACTTCCGTGCCCCATGTGCAGGAGGGGCCCCTCCTGTGGGCCCTGAGACCCCAAGCCGGGCGCTCCAGCCGCACATGGAGCGGCTCAGCTGCATGCTGGAGCCGGGACAGTGAGGGGTGCTCACTGCTGGCCGGGGCTGGGCCTGCAGCCGCTCTCCACCTACTGCTCCGACACCCGGGGCTTCGGCTCCCAGGCAGTGCAGGACTTGGCCTCGCCCTTGAGGGTCGCTGAGGCCACCCACCATCTCTGGCCACAGCCTTGGTCTGGGCAGTCCAGCGGCCCAGGCCTGGGTCCCCAGAAGTGTTCCTGATTCCCTGATCCTGCTTCGTCCTGGCGAGCAGGCTCCTCCCTGGGGCTCTGGCTGTCCCTGGGAGAGGTGATGGGGCTCAGCCCCTGGGCAATGGTTCCAGATGCCACCGTGAGGACGGAGGCTGCCTGCAGTCTGACCTGAGGGGGAGCTGGGGGTGTCCGGGCCTCAGGGCACTGACAGGGACCCTGGGCTCTACCTGCCACCTGCCGCTCTGGATCCAGCACCCCCAGCCGGGCTCGGGGCAGCGTCCCTGAGGGAAGGGGCTTTGGGCGGGTTCTGAGCTGGTGGGTGGGCTGCAGCCTTGGCCATCCTGACGGAGAAGCCCCCTCAAGCCCTGGCCCTGCTGTCCATCTGGGTGAAGAAAGGGCAGGAAGTGGAGATGAGCAAAGCTTCCACGATGTGGCCACCAAACCCAGGTGCCCACCAGGTGCCGTGGCCCCCCCCCCTCAGACCCCTCCCCGCGCCTCTCCTCTCCGCCAGCGGGCCAGGCTCCACCCCAGCCACTCTCTTTGACCTTAAAAGGGATCTTTGAGCCTTTGGTGACTGTTGGATGTGGGGGAGACTGACGGTGGAGCCCCAAAGAATTTTAACTAGGGCGGGGCAGTGCCCTGGATCACCAAGGAGTCACTGGGTAGACTTTTTTAAAAATATATTATATTGATTTTTTACAGAGAGGAGGGGAGAGGGATAGAGAGTTAGAAACATTGATGAGAGTGAAACGTTGATCAGCTGCCTCCTGCACACCCGCTACTGGGGATGTGCCCGCAACCAAGGTACATGCCCTTGTCTGGAATCGAACCTGGGACCCTTGAGTCCGCAGGCCGACGCTCTATCCACTGAGCCAAACCGGTTAGGGCTGGGAAGACTCTTAAAACCAGGGAGTAGATGTCCCATGCTCCCTGGTATGAATTGTGGGAGGGGTAGGACAGGGTCTGCAGGATGAGCAGACCGGGGCCAGGTGCCTGCGAATTTCTGCCCACCCCTCACCCCTGTGCTCTCTGCCCACCCCTCACCCCCTGTTCTCTCTGCCCACCCCTCACCCCTGTGCTCTCTGCCTATCCCTCACCCCTGTTCTCTCTGCCCACCCCTCACCCCTGTTCTCTCTGCCCACCCCTCACCCCCTGTGCTCTCTGCCCACCCCTCACCCCCTGTGATCCCTGCCCACCCCTCACCCCGTCAGTGCAGCCTTGAGCGCCCTGTGTTACTGACCCTTTGATGGCGTATGTGCCTGAGCCCCGTGAAGGCCTCTCTATAAATAAGATTCTGGCGGTGACTGTGGAGCTCTACTTGTCTTCCCGCGCCCAAGACCAGCCTGGTACGTTCCCTTGCTGCCTAACCTGCACCTGCCCACCTGGAGTGGCCTCTTTCCTTGCTCTCTCCTTGCCCTCCATGTACGGGGACCAATTTGGAAAACAACAGGGGTCCCAGGACAGTCATGGCCGTCACCGGGGCAGACTCAGTGCTGGGCTGGTTGGACTGGAGGGCAGGGGACCGGCCGAGGGTGCTTCTTGCTTCTGCCTTTGGAAGGCAGGGGCCCTGCAGGCGGGCGGGGTGAGAGGGGAAAGCTGTGCCACCTCCTCAGGGTCAGCAGGGCTTTTGGGGCAGGATCCGCTCAGCAGGCACCCGCCTCGCACAGCTGTCAGCTCTGGGGGCTGGGTGAGGGGCGCGGGGTAGACTCCTGTGTGGACACAGGCTGACTCCCAGGGCTCCAGGGCAGACGGGACTCTGGAGGCCCCACTCCTCGGCCACCCCCTTCCCACTGGCCTGGGCACCTGGTCAAGGAGGGACTCTCAGGTTCACCCTGCCCAGAGCTGGGGCAATCCCTAGGCACAGGGGCTTTCAGAATGGCTTGCACCACATGAGGCCCGCAAGCACTTGCCCACTTCCCCTTGGCCCATCACAAGCCGCACGGAAGCTTTTGGGCCACGGCCCACCTGGGAGAACCCAGGGCTAGGCCTTCCAGGTCCCACCCCGGGTCCATTTAGCAATGGCAGGAGCTACACACCATCTACAAGTGGGTTTCTCTGTGGCCAGAAGCCAGGAGAAATCTGGCGGCTTCAGACACCCTCCCGCCCGCACTGGCTGGCAGGTGGCTCACCCCTCTCCACAGGCCCGGGATTCGAGGCTCCCACGGACACAGTGGCCTGTTCTCCCAACCGCAGGGCCCAGGCCCCGGGCCGAGTCCAATCCCTTCCGGGAGGCAGCGAGTGTTCCCTGTGCTGACTGCATGTCAGGAATCCAGTCTAACGCCCTGGACTGGTCCCCGGAAACGTGTGAGCAGCGTTCAGCCACGGGTGGTTGGGGAACAATACCCTCTGACGTGCCTGAGGGCTGGGCAAGGGGTGCCCGGGCAGCGGGTGACTAGTGTGTGTTTTATAATAAGAAAAGGTCATGAGTAAAGTGTCCAAAGTAAAATATTTAGAAAAGAAACTACAGAATAAACCCAAAGAAAATAGAAGGCAGAAGTAAATGAAGAGTGGAAATTAATAAAATACAAAGATACATTAGGAATATCAAAGCCAAAAGTCGACTCCTGAAAAAGACTAAGAACATAAGTAGAAATCTGGGGAAAAAATTATTCTCAACACAGAAAGGTATAAGACACAAATAAACAGAAGTAGAAATTTTAAAATCTATAACTAGGTTTTACAGACATTAAAGGGTAAGACACTGTTATAGGTAATGAAATGGGAAATACTCAAACTTGTGGATTCATGAAGTAAAAGAAAGAGAGGCCCTAAAACATCCACAGAGTTGACAAGTTATTAACAAATCTTCCCACAAAGAGAACACCAGCCATGCAATATATTCGAAGACCACAATTAGGCAAGTTTTTAAAAATAAACTCTTAATTTTGTTTCAGATTTATAGAAAAATTGTGAAAATAGTTTGCAGAGCTCCCATATATCCTGCATGGTTTCCCTTATTTTTAACATCTTGTATTAGTGTGACATTTACAATTAATGAACCACTTTTGATACATTATTAACTAAAGTCCATACTTCATTCAGATTTCTTTGGGAATTTGTACATAATGTCCTTTTCCTGTTTCAGGATCCCATCCAGGATACCATGTTGCTTTTTTTTTTTATGACCAGACAATTACATATAAGAATACACACTTTAAATATATATATATATATATTTATTGATTTCAGAGAAGAGAAAAGAAACATCAGTGATGAGAATCATTGATTGGCTTCCTCCTGCACACACCCTTCTGGGAACTGAGCCCTCAACCCCCGCATGTGCCCTGGCCGAGAACTGAACCCTGACCTCCTGGTTCATAGGTCGATGCTCAAACACTGAGCCACACCAGCGGCAGCCTTTCCTTGGTCTTGATGACCTTGACAGCGTTGAGGGGCACTGCTCATGTATTTTGTAGAATCTCTCCCTATTGGGACTTGTCAGGCGTTCTTCTCAGGATTAGACTGGGGTTATGAGTTTTAGGAGGAAAACTACAGAGGTCGAGTGCCATTTGTTCCACATCACATCAGGGGAAGACGCTAGCCACGGGACTGATCACTGCTGGTGGTGACCCGGACCGCCCGGCTGCGGGGTGTGGTCCCCCGGCGCTGAGCCAGGTGGCGGGTGTGCACGCGGCGCGCGTTCCCGCTTCTGTAAACAGTTCTCGGTGTGAGGCTTCCGGAGACCCACTCGGAAGTGCTCACCGAGACGGGGGTCTGCAGCCACAACCCACCCAGGAGCGAGGGGTGGGAGGGCTCCGCGGTCCCTCACAAACCCATATCCCGGCCCGACTCCTCTTCCCAGGAAGGTGCCCCGAGAAAGCGACAGGTCGTTCCTGCAGCCCCCCTGAGTCACCGGCTTCCTGAGTCCGCCTCCACCGGCAAGCCCAGGTCCCCGAGGGGGCCCGACGTGGCGGGCTCAGGCTCTTCCAGGACCGCGCGATGATGGGACGCGGCGGCCTCGTGCGGACCGGGGGCCCTGGTGGAAGCTGAAACGGTGGGACCTCGCGAAGTAAAGCGGGGGAAGCCGCCCGGCCCGCTCCAGGGCCCGGAACCTGGAGCAACGGTCGCTCAGCAGTCCCCCCGCGTCACCTGCTTCCCCGAAGCTGTCATCCTCGTCTTCCGTGCTCGGTACCACCGGCATTCCCATATTGGGGCCCGACATGGCGGGCTCGGGCGCCGCAGAGCCTAGGAGACCCTGAAACGCCGCGACCGTCACGCCGTAGCCCGCGCCGGGCGGAAGGTGGAGGGGGCGGGCGTCGCGCGGGGCCGGAAGAGTGGAGCCGCGCAGAGGAACGCAACCTGCGGACTGGGCAGCCCGGACCCCGCCCACAAGGCAAGGAGCCCCGCCCCCACCAGAACCCCGCCCCCGCCCTCCATCAGACCCCGCCCCTCCCACAACCCTAACCCCGCCCCGCCCGCCGCCAGGCCCCGCCCCCAGCCGAGCCCCGCCCTCTCCGTCGAGCTCCTCGCTCTCTCCCGGCCCCGCCACCCCCGGCTGCTGGCCGGGAAGCCTAGCTGGTGGAGGCTCGGGCAAGCGAGTTGGGTGGAGGGGCAGCAGCAGGTTGGCACCTCGCCTCCCCCGTTCTATCCCCATTCCGCCCCTCCTGCCGCTGGCGACCTGTGGGTGGGCCAGCAGCGCCTCCGCGTGGGCGAAATCTGAGACGCGTGCTTTCTAAGGACCCCCCTAATCAATGGCTTCGGAACATTTTCGTTCACAGCCTCCTGGAGAGTCACGGCTGGCGGAGAGCTGCGTGTGGCTGTCGCTCAAGAAAGGCCGTGGGAGACGCCTGGCCCAGCCGCCATCACCCCCACCCCTTTGCCAGCTGGGAAAGGGAGCCCTGCTCAGTCACCAGCCAGCAAGTGTCGCTCCTGAGCGGGACCCAGAGGTGTGATCTCCAGCTGGGAGTGACTTGCATATGTCAGTGCCACCGCCTTCTCCCTGAACCACGGTGAGTGGAGGTGAGGCCTCAGCTGAACCAGTGCCTCACCCAGGTCAGCTGACACCACCCCCACCCCCACCCCGGACTATAAAGTGCGGGCATCCTTTCTCCTGACCCCAATCCGCCACCCTCCTGCCAAGCCTCCACTCCTCCCTACTGGGGGCTGGCACACCCTCAAAGCCGCCTTGAGGAGCACCTGTGCCCCTGAAGGAGCAGGTGACAGCACTTGGACCATTCCGGGAGAGGGAGGAATCTTTGGGTCCGAGAGGGTGCTAGGAGCGTGCCTGGGGGCAGCTGGGTGCCTTGGGCATGGCCCCATCCCTCTCTCAGTCCAGGCTCCACTAAACTCATCTTTCCCTGGAGTCTGGCCCTGAGCTACAGTGGCATCTGGTTGGGCTGGCTCCAGGTCTGTCCTGCTCCCTGCTGGCTGAGGCTGGGACTGCTCACAGCTCCAGTACCTCCCCATGCCCCTGCCAAGGGCGAATGGGACAGGTGTGCAAGTCTGTGAGGGGGAGGAGCCTGGGTTCCCTTGGAAGCCGGCCTCCTCTGGCCTCTGGCCTTGCCAGGGGGGAAGAGGCAGGGGAGGGAATTCCCATGTGGGGCACCGGTGAGGAGGGGCTCTGGCTGCCGCCCGGGTGGGCAGGAGCTTGTCAGGCCCCAGACACAGGCCCCGCCAGTGGTGGTGCTGGCCTGGAGCCCTCAGGCCTCTGGAATCTGCATCCCTGGCAGCATCTCCCCCTGTTCGCCTCCCCCAGCCCTGCCCCGGGTGGTCCAGACGTCATCATAGAGAAGAGGGGTGGTTGAGGGACAGTGCTCTGAATGGGGTTAGCATGGATACTGCCACTCACCAGTGGGGACAGGAGGGCGAGCACTGGACCCACAGGAGGCTGGCAGAGGAGCAAGGGACCACCCTGGTGACCCTCTGTGCCTGGCACAGCCTCAAGCTGGGCATTCCCTGTCCCACCTACTGTTGGCTGCCATCTTCTAACATCACAGGGATCCTGGTGAGTTGGGGGTGACAGCACTTCAGCTTCCCCTGTTCCCTCCAGCTCCCCGGCCCTGGCGAGGCCTTTGTTGTAGGACCTGTTGCAAGTGGCTGAGTGTAGACATGAGGTGTGACCTCAGTGTTTCCATTGGCCTGGGCACCCCTCAAAGGCAAGGACATGTGAGGGCTAGCATTGGCTTGGGGGTGGACCCAGGATTGGGACTTAGGACGTGTTCAGTCAAAGATGGACTCAAGTTCCGTGACCTCCATTCCTCACTGAGGGCCTCAAGGCGGCCTGGGAGTAATGCTGAGAGCCACCCTTTGCCCTTTGCCCTCCCAGAACGCCCAGTGGGCAAGGAACACAGACTCGGGGGCTGTGGCATGTATTTATTTAGCAGTGAAGGAGCAACTCCATCAGCAGGGTGGCCTGGGAGCAGCGCTGGGCCGCACTGTGAGAGGATCCTGGCTCTCAGTGGCGTCCGGCTCGTGGGGGCAGCTGGGTGGCACCTTGGGTGGAGGTGGATATGAAGGCAACGTGAAGGAGGAAGAGGAGGCACGCAGGGGAGTCACGATAGCGACAATGCCGGGTAGGGGAGCAGCAGGCCGCTGCCCTCTGGCTCCCATCAGCCCCCTCCCCATCCATACTCACCACCTGCTCACTGGTCATCGATGCACTTGTCTGTGGGGGAGACAGTTCGTCACAATAGGCAGGGATGTGTGTGTGACCCCTGACCACCGGGACCCCTGCCCTGCCCCCCGGCTGCCCCAGGCCCCAGCCTGGCCCAGGAGCAGCAGATCTAGGGGTTCCCTTCAGGGCTGGGGCAGCAGAGGGGCAGATGATGGGGGAGGGGATCTAGAGAAAGGCCTGAGAACACCTGGGGGTCACTTGTTCTCAAGGACTCAAACGGGGCCCAGCCACCTGCTGGGCACCGAG